ATTTGATCAAAAACATATGTTGTGAAATTTTAGAACAATTCAAATAACTTTTCTGTTTGAATATATTTTAAAGGGTTAGTTCAGCCAAAAATGAAAATTATGTGATCATTTACTCACCCTTGTGTTGTTCTATTGCCATATGCCTTTTTTTCTTTATCAGACCAAGAAAAAAAAAGATTTTTAAAATGTCCCATGCATGCTCGTCCATATAATGGCAGTGCATGGAGATCAACAGCAAGCTTTTAAAAATGACTCAAAAGTATCACACGTGACAAGTGTCATATATTCCAAGTGTTCTGTGGGTATATGATAATGTATGGTAAGAAACAAACTGAATAACACTATCTAATGAATATCCTTACTTAACCGTTGGTCTCTTTGTGCGTTCAATAGACTCTATTAGCGCAGTAGTTCACTCCGACTCACCCAGGAAAAGCACACAAGTTGTGCAAAAAAAAAAAAATCAGGATGAATAAAACCGCAGACAACAGAACGAAAGATTTCATTACAAAATACTTTTATTTACATTCTTAAGAATAAATCAAACAGAAGACAACAGGATATGCTATGTGTGCGCCTGCCAGTTTAAACATTTCGTCTTTGAGACTCGATCACAAGCACTACAGAAAAGTTAGCGTACAAGTAATGAATGTCAATTGCAAATCTCACGGTTACTGTGAATAGAAAACATGTCTAGTAATCAGAGTTCGTACATAATGGTGACTAGAGATGAAATATAAATAGCTGCAGGCAGATCCTCATACCGCTATCAAATCTTATCTTTGGATAAAGATGTTAACGCTGATGTCTTTGCTTTAGAGTCAATACTTTAATAACATTCGACGCAGATGAAATCATTTGGATTTACTAACTCCAATGGAAGACTGGTTTGAAAATACAAACTAAACAGTGGATTCAATGGCAACCGGTGGGCTTCTTTTTGTCTGTAGGTGACCGAGCAGCCCACTCACTAAATAGCGCAAATGGACACAAATCCAGTGAACAATATCACACTGTGACTGCTGGTAGAAACCGTTTTTTGTTCTGCTGACTTCTTCATATGGTTCAACTACTGCAGCAGAAGCAGCACGACAAAATGTACCATCAGCCCCTCTTTAAATACTGCTCACCTACAGCGTCAGACAAATCATAAATACACTTATTTAAAAAAAAAAAAATATATATATATATATACACATATGTAAATATAAATAGACAAATATTGAAAAATAGATCGAAAAATAAATAAATTGTATGAACAGTTGTGCTATAGATGATAGAATGGAATAGAATAGAGTGAGATGCAGGGATGTACTAGGATGGAGGTGGTAACAAATAAATGGTAAAAAGGTTATTGCACATTTTTATTGCATAAAGTGGGGAACATTTAACTGTTCATGAGGTAGATTGCCTGGGAGAAGAAACTGTTCTTGTGCCTGGCTGTCCTGGTAAAATTTAGGCTGTCTTAAAACTAGGCGTCAAAGACCTTAAGTCTTAGATGTCAAACTTATACAGTTAGCAAACTTGTCTTGTTAGCGCAACATTCTAACTTCACAGAAGTTGGTACACATAGTCAGCAGGACAATATAAGGTAAAATGCCATTTTATTACGATGATGCGATGGGTGTAGCAGAAATATCTAAATGGTAAAGCCAATTATTTGTTACTGACTGAATATATAGGCTACACAGTAAAAAACGTTGGGTTGATTTTTTTTTTTTTTTTTTTTGCACATATTAGGTCACTGTGTTGCGTGATCTTAAAATTTGTTGGGGTTTTTTTTTTCTGTTAGTCGTTGGGTTATTTTTAGTTATTTCACTGTTTGGTTAAACATTGTTCCCGCTCCACTCCGGTTTAAATTTTAACGGTCCAGCAGGCTAAGTGAGTCAGCGGAAGTCAGCGGCAGCCTGTCTGATTATGAAAGGTAAGTAACTGTGAATGTAGCCTAATTTTATGATGTATATAAATGTTATAACATTTATAATGTATACTGAAAAGTTAATTAAATCCTAAAACTATTTTTAAAAATGAAGTTGCGATTCCCTTTAGTCATTTTGTTTCTTTCCCAGAGAATCGCATCGATTGTAAATTAATATGCTATTCCCGTTTGCTTGCTAGCATTAATAAATTAAAACATTAACTGAAAGAATAGCAAAACTGTTTAGAGAAGTATTAGGCTACTTAACGTTAATGAAATGTCTTATAGCCTATAGCATACTAATGTTGTTCGCTATAGAAATCATTTTAAGTTTAATCAATTATTTTTTTCAAGTGAAAGTGAAAGTGAAGTGACATGTGGCCAAGTATGGTGACCCATACTCGGAATTAGTGCTCTGCATTTATCCCATCCAAAGTGCACACACACAGCAGTGAACACACACACACACCGTGAACACACACCCGGAGCAGTGGGCAGCCATTTTATGCTGCGGCGCCCGGGGAGCAGTTGGGGGTTCGGTGCCTTGCTCAAGGGCACCTCAGTCCTGGTATTGAAGGTGGAAGAGAGCGCTGTACATTCCCTCCCCCCCCCTACAATCCCTGCCGGTACGAGACTCGAACCCGCAACCTTTGGGTTACGAGTCCGACTCTCTAACCATTAATGTCAGAGATAATGTTTAGAGATTTAAAGTTTAATCAATAAAAAATGTCCCAATCATACTGAATTATTTTTTTCATGGGAATTCACAATATATTTGATACAAAATAAAGCAGTAGGCTATTATTTGAATGTAAATGAAAGGTTTTTAAAACGGGAAAGATAATAAATAACTGTGTGCAATCAATGTTTTTCTGCCAACACAGAAAATTCTGACCGTGAATTTGCAGCATTCACAAGCATTCACAAGCGCCGTTGCCGCGCTCCTTTGTAGAATGTTTATGAAGAAGGTAGGCTAATTATGCTTATACTTGTTTCTACGTTACGTTTTTGATCAATGTTATTAAAAAAAAATAATAATAATTGGATGTGTATAGATATGTCACAATCGTAATAAACTGCATCAACTACATTTTATAATTGTATTTCTTGTTTTATTCACAATTTAACATGTAACAGAAACAATAAAATGAAAACTGAAAAAAAAAGTATGTTTCTGAATATTTACATTATTAAATTAATATGGGCCATTCTACAGAATTGGTGCAAACTGCTGTCCCACAACCATAAAACACATTAAAAAAGCATTTAATATTCAAATCATGTTTACAAAGATCATATTACTGTCAATGAAAATGTGCAGTCACAACCGAAAATCAAAAATAAAGTATATTGAATTATCAAAGATGTTATTATAGTGTTTGGTTCAATCTTCAAAGTAATGAATCATTAAAATCTCATAAATTACACCTGGAATGTTGTTAGAATTGTAATTGTTATTGATTTACCCGTCAAAACTTTTTGAAAATAAAACAGCAATATAAAAACAAGTGCATATTTATGATTCAATGAGGATCTACAATTCTATAAAAAGGAATGACATGGAGATTCTACGGTAATACATTTCTCATCTTTACCAAGTCTTTTATAAAAACATTAATTATTCTAAAAACATTATATTAATAATACATAGAAAAGGTGAAAGATGCATGACAGGTGAGCTCTGTTTTAATCTAAAATCTGTATAGAGAGGCTTTCCAAAAACATGGGTCACTGGATGGCTGGACTGTTTGGAATCCAGAACAGTGGATGCAGCAAGACTGTGTGAACTGTGGGGTATTTGTGTGCACTGTAAGGTTTATTTCTCACTTCACTATAAAAATGTTTTCAATGTAAATGTGTTGTTTTGGGCTGTGAACAACAATGCTTTTTTGTTTTAAAGGCAGCAGAAATGGAAGCAAAAAACATGAAAATGTCATCTGAAGTGCTTCAAACATGTCAGCTAGTACACCTACGTGTTTACCATGCCACAAGCATGTTGAAAGATGTGACAACTGAAGTAAGAGAAATAGGAATTAAGAGTTTCAAATTTGACAAAAAGAGAATATTACAATTCATATGTACTGCTGGACAGGACTTTCCGACTGCAATTGGAGAAACAGAGGAAAGCGAAATAGAGACCAACAACTGCATTGCCCAGGACATAAAAGCCTGCATTTATCAAAACACAGGAGATAAGTAAGTACTATGGCATATGCAAGTTTTGGTGTAAATGAATTTTGCTGCTGTTAAAATTACAATAATGTTTATGTTTTTAGAACTCTGCATCCACACATCAAACGTACGAAGTGTGACCTGTGCAACAAATGGTTACAAACAGATTGCTCTGGCATAGACCCTAAAACAATTACTAAAGACACACCCTTCAGCTATGGATGTGATCAAGAACAGCCATATTCTTTTCAAAGGTTAGCAACAGAACTATAACACAAACAAAATATCATAAAAATACTTTTAATGCATATGTCTACTTTACAGCACCCTCACAGCTTTGAAACAGGGGCTTTTGGTCGACACAGTTGTGAATAATGAAGAAATTGTGGTAAGTGTTATGAAAACCTTTAAATAAAATGGCACATATACATGCTGTATGACACATAAGAATATCAAGATTAACATATGTAGCACATTGATAAATAGTAATATTGTGCTGTAAAACAACTTTTTTCTTTTGTAGAAACTCCATCATGACCTCACATCTGGTGCAGTGAAATCACAAAGAATGTTTTTACACAAGCATCCGAATTATGCACCCACACTGAAAAATCTGTGCAAACTACGTATCTCAGTGTTTGATGAAGAACAGGTACAATAACATACCACAATTACTTATTTTTATAGCTTCATAGTACTGTTACACCAAAGATTCTCAATATCTTATCATTCATTATAATCTGAAACTATTGGAATGTAATTGAATTATTAGATGCTGGATTTATTTGAAACACTAAGTGAAATATCTGCATTGTTGTTTGTCATAGACTGATGGAATCATTGACAAAGTATTCAGTGTTTTGGCATTGAAAATAAAAGATTCATCAAGCGTTTCTTATGTTACGGAAGTCATGACAACCTTACGTTTTGTGAAGAAGACATTAATAATTCAAGAGCTAATTATATTTTAAATATAGTGTGTTAATTATATTAATTATATATATATGTGTTATAATGCAGTTATCAATTCTACATTTAATGCACAATTTATGTGATACAATTGTAATGATTGTGTTTTTACTTGATTATAGATATCCATTCTGATTCTCAGAAAGACAGAGGGGTTCCACAGATTCCAAGCGGAAATGGCCTTTGTTGCTGGATACTGTGTGGAATAACAGTTTTAAGTGCTACAAGCAATATATATATATATATATATATATATAATTTTTTTTGTCAATATACTTTATGATGCCAAAAGCATGCAAAGAATTGTGACTGAACTATTTGCCTTCATTCTGTTTCTCTAGTGTCTTTGTGAACTACAGCGCCATCTGTTCATGAATAAGTTAAACATTAACATATGCTATTTAAATACCAATTAAGTGGGGGCGTATTTGCTTTCATCAGTGTTTTTTGAAACGTGACTCAATATAACAGTGTGACTACCTAAAAATGCTTTTACTGTTATATTTGTTTGTTCCCGTCATTTCGGTGACGAATGTTTTATAGCAAGGTATATTCTGACACTGGATTTGCAGTTTCTGGAAGATGGAGAAGCCCCAGCGATCAAAGATCCCGGTCATATAAGAACTGCTGTAAAACTGCATCAAATGTCTGCGATTGTTAGTAAGTGTAAGTGCTCACGACTCTTCAGCTCCGCCCACGACTCGCCTCCAGGAGCTTGGCTGTTTTCGGAGAGAATCGCAAGCTGTATCTTTCTTTTATAAATCTGATAAAAACTGTGATGACGAGCGCTTATCAGGATCAACTAAACGCTGGATTCTCAAAGTATGTAAAATATTTAAGTTTGCGGCACAGAATCTTTCAAATACATCCGAGAGTTACACACCGGTCTGTTATTGAGGCAACATTTCCATGCCCCGAAACGTGCTGCGAATGAAACGAACTGTGATTGGTTGTTTGACAAAGAAGCTACCATGAATTCCAGACCTTCAGCCGTCAGTCTGAATGTCTGTATGCGAGACTAATTTTTATAGCACTACAGCACAGATTTAAGCAGCAGGAAATGCTGGTGCATGGTGCAAACGGAATCATTTCTGCTGCGGCGCAGCGCCAAGAGAAATTGGTAAACCTCGCCTCCAGGAGCTCGGCTGTTTTCGGAGAGAATCGCAAGCTGTATCTTTCTTTTATAAATCTGATAAAACTGAAGACTCTTCGGAGATGTGAATGATGCAATACTACAATTATAGGTATTCAAGATAACATGAGATTGGCCAAAACTGTGTGTATGTCATGTCCCCTTTAACCTAGTCAAGTCTACATTATTTTTATATAGTCTCAGCCTCAGTCGTCACGCCCTTGGACCGTTGGCTGAACGTCTGATCCATCAACCTATGGGAATACGACACCTATCTAAGCATTCATATATAAGGTCCCTCAGTATTATCAGCAGTTTTCGCATTGCTCAATAGCTAATTACCCTCCTCCATCCCCAACTCCTCCTCTGTCAGTCAGGATTCAGCCTTCTGATTCCCCTTGAATCAGACTAATTCTAAAATGTGTACATAAAATGATTGAACTTTAACAATATCTGCAATACATTTATGTTAGTTCCGTTTACCCTGGGGGGTTATTGCAGCTCTCCCTGCTCTCATCCCTGCTAGGCTGCATGGAGGCGCAGGGAGTTCTTGCCCAGAACAGAACCATACCGCCAATCCAAACTGTATGCTAATTGTCAATCATCTTTGACGATAGTGGTCCTGACAGAAGTGCTGACTTTGACTGCCCTAAAATAACATTTTGCATTAATAATGTCAAATTCTGTAAATGTGGTAAAAAATTATTGCATATTTGTTTATATATAAGGATGACAGTTCGAAAACACCTGGAAAAGTAACAGCACACCTCTCATCATCAATCCGCACAATTTAAAGAATCATTCGTATCCATACACAAACAGTGAGTCACATGCCAAATCATAATACAAATAGAGGTACAAATATAAGCAATAGCAATATTGATGCTTATCCTACCAAGCACCACTAATAAATCTTCATTCAGTCCGTAAAATCATGTGTCCTTTTTGTTCAGACAGGGCATTGATTCTTGCTGTGGTGGAGTTGTGCAGCTGGCAAATGCCAGCTCTCATCTAATATTCCGTCACCATAGGTGACACGTGACATAACGAGTTCTAACATCCCCATCTAACACTGACAAGTTGAGGGGAGCTTTCTGCACAGGAAGCCATTTTGTTCTAGCTCTGTGTAATGAGACAGATCTGTGAGCCACGAGCTGGAGAGGGGGGAGATGTTGCACACACGCACACAAATGCACACTAAACGCACAGGCATTGCCAATCCAGCAGGGAGACAGTAAATCAACGCAGCTTCTCCCAACTTGACAGGCACACCCTAACCCTTTCATCGTTGTGCAACTTGAAACAGGCTTGCTTTGCGACCGAGGTTGCTATTTTAGCTTTGCTTAAAGTCATTTCCTTCTAATCAAAGGGCCATGTGACTTTCTGCATGAGGTAACAGGACACATGCTGATATCGAGTGCCTGTGGGTGAAAGGTAGAGAGTCGAGTGGCAGAGAGCAGCTGGATGGAGCCTAGTCAAATTTAAAAATGTCGGTATGGGTTGTTATCTAGCTCAAACAAAGCTATAAAAGAGGCCATTAAAAGTGTGCAATCCGTGCTCAGTGAATATATCCGCGAATCCAGACAGGAAGATCACAGCGGCCCACTGTACGTGCAGCCCACATGAGCATAGGAATGTAAACAAACCAGACTTCAAACGAAACCTGTGTCGAGGGGAGGGGCGTGCGCTGTAAGCACAGATTGCATCGTGTTTCTGACAGAGGTGAACATCACAAGTAGTTTTTTACGGTGCTCTTCTGCCTTTTGTAAAACAGCGCAGTGGGATCCCACACTAAAGCAAGAAAGAGCCGTCTCTTATGCTCCGACCCCGTCTCCTTTCTTCTCTTCGCCCTCTTTCCCGCCTCCCTCCTCACAAAAAAAGGAAAGCAATCAGACAGGACACATGTCTGTGGAAATTTCCATGACTACGCTTGTAAAAATGTACCCTTGTGACTTGATTTTAAACAAACGCAACGTGCCAAATTTTGGCTTGTTTATCAATGGGGTTGCCAGAGAGGCTTTTGTGGCTGGCTCTTGCACAGAGATAAAAATCTGACTTGAGAACGTCTTAAGAAACTGCTTGCCTTGTGTTTATGGCACCAAAACAATCCCCACACTGGTCCAAACTTGTCTTGATGCCATTCACCCTGTTTTTAATCTTTATCGCAGTGAGGGAGAGGACAGACGTTACATGCCTTGTAATAGTGCTTGTCTTTCCATGATGCCACAGATTTTAAGAACATGAAGTTTGGTACTTGGAAACTCTTATAGACTGAACATATGGACTCGATTAAAAACGTATTTAAGTGATCCAGAGACTATAACTTGTGAGAGAAAAAGACTGGGTCAGAAACAAGAGTGCCTTGTGTCTAGTGGTGTAAATTTGTCCTCTCTGTGTAGGTGATGGCGCACACTGGGCTTCACAGCAAAGTCAACATATGCTACATCACTACTTCCAGCATATTTGACCACACTCAAACAAGCTACGCTCATTCATAATAAGGCCAACAGGTAACATTCAGACACTAAGATTTCCAAAAGTTACAAATGGCAAAAGAATGGGGAAAGCAGCTGTATTGAGACTTGTTACAGCACTTGTATACTGTTGCCCTCCTATTGGTCTGAATTACTTTTATTTGCTCTTCTCATTTGTAAGTCTCTTTGGATAAAAGCGTCTGCTAAATGATTAAATGCAAATGTAAATATCATCACTCTGTCACTCTTAACGGGTTTACACTAGGTATATGGCCAAACGTTTCATGCTGCCATTGATCGGAGTTTCCGTATAGGATACTTGCTGTTAGATCACCAACATGAAGCCATGTCTTTAGGAACATCACTTGATTCTAAGCCAAGGATATAGCGGTGCTAACATTTTTATTTAGATTCTGTCCAAAGTGTGGCACTGGCAAAGTCTTAGGTCTTTTATCCAAAGTCTTTTATGTCTAAAATTTTAGAAAAAGTTGTGTCTGCTCAATTGTGCTCCTTCCTGCAAAAAAATTATCTCTATGAAGAATTTCCCCACCATAGTACAGAAACTGCACTTGTTAAAATTACAAATTACTTGCTTCTTGCGTCAGACCAAGGCTGTATCTCATTGCTAGTTTTACTTTATCTTAGTGCTGCGTTCGACACTATAGATCATGACATACTCATAGATCGATTACAAAACTGTACAGGTATTCAAGGGCAGGCTTTAAGATGGTTTAGATTCTACCTGTCCGATCGCTACCATTTTGTTCATTTAAATGGGGAGTCATCTCAATTATCACCAGTAAAATATGGAGTGCCACAAGTCTAGTCTTCTAACTAACTAGTCTTCTACAACGCTACAATCCATCACCCTTCCTAAGGTCGCAAAACTCTGGACTTTTGGTAGTACCTAGGATAGCAAAGTCCACTAAAGGAGGTAGAGCTTTTTCGCATTTGGCTCCCAAACTCTGTAATAGCCTTCCTGATAACGTTCGGGGTTCAGACATACTCTCTCTGTTTAAATCTAGATTAAAGACACATCTCTTTGGCCAAGCATTCAAATAATGCATCTCATAATCACCAAATTTTGCTATAAGTTTGATTGCATCATATAATAATTGCTGTTAATAGTGTTCACCGTCTGTTTGATTACGTCTTTAATGATTTTTCCGTACATTTCTGCCATTTGTACATTTAACTGACAGTCACCACTGATAAGCTACCACTAAATATTGTAGAAACTTAATTTGCTGTAAAGTTGCTTTGCAATGATTTGTATGGTGAAAAGCGCTGTACAAATAAACTTGAATTGAATTGAATTAGGTTTGATTCAAACTGATCAAATGTATACTTTAAATGCAAATAAGTAAATACTAATATTATAAATATAAAACAAAACATATATATATATATATATATATATATATATATATATATGCATAAATA